TTTTTTTAAAGTATCCGCTTCAACTTAAATGGGTGAATTTGCAGCAAGAAGCATAAGGTGTCGCGATCATCAATTGAAAATTTCATTCATTTTTTTTCTATTGTATTCAAGTGTTTCAAAAATGTCAATTTTTTAATTATCAATCTAGTAATTTAGTTTTGAATTGTTTTAATTTACCGGTGTTTAAATTACATTTCAACACGGTACGTTTCAGCTACTCAACGAGTTGTTTATATAAATTGCATTTGTTGGTTTGTTTACTTTGATCATCATGAGTGACTCTGAGGATCCAACATTAGCCCAAGATAATGAGGATGAAGAGTACGGAGAAGAGACAATGCAAGAAACAATACAAGAGACATTGCCTGAAAAAAGAACTCGTGGTAGTAAATTTGACAATGATGGTGAAAAAAAGAAAAAGAAGAGTAAAACAAAGTCAGTTCCATCTATTAAAATAAAACTTAAATCGATCAACACCAGTAAAAGAAAAAAGGCCGCTAGTTCTGAAGAAGATGAAATGAGTGAACCTAATAAAAGTGATGTGGAATTTGAAGCCGCTTTACAAGAAGCTGAAGCAGCAACTCCACCGCCAAAAAGTGATAAAAAGAAAAAGAAAAATAAACAATCAAAGAAAAAGAAAAAAACTAAAACAACTGCAAGTTTTGATTCTGTTGCCGGTTCTGACAGTGAAGGATATGAAACAGACCATCAGGACTATTGTGATGTTTGTCAACAAGGAGGAGAAATTATTCTTTGTGACACTTGTCCTCGTGCTTACCATTTGGTATGTTTAGAACCAGAATTAGAAGAAGCACCTGAAGGTAAATGGAGCTGTCCACATTGCGAAGGAGAGGGTGCTCAAGATGCAGAGATTGAAGAACCGCCAGCCAAAGATGATCATCATATGGAATTTTGTCGGGTTTGCAGGGATGGCGGAGAATTACTTTGTTGTGATTTATGTCCTTCAGCTTATCATACATTTTGTCTTAATCCTCCGTTAAAAGTTGTTCCTGATGGTGAATGGGTATGCCCTAGATGCTCGGTAAGTAAACATTAAAAAGTTTAATTTCATATGAAGATTTTTTTTGCAAGATTTATTTTTATTGCGTTTTTACAATATTTCATATTTCATATTGGTGGGTGTATTTTTTAGGTTGAACCACTAAAGGGTAAAGTAGCCAAAATTTTAACATGGAGATGGGTAACAATTGAACCCGATGAACCAGAGGAGAAAGAAGGTGGTGAAGTCGGTGAAGGTGGTGAAGTTAAAAAAACTGATGAAAACATTCCAGCAGCCCAGCCATCAACAAGTAAAAAACATCAACCAAAACCTTTACGTGAATTTTTCGTAAAGTTTCATGACATGTCCTATTGGCACTGTCAATGGATCTCTGAGATACAGTTAGACGTATTCCATACATCCATGTTTCGGATATATTGTCGTAAGAATGACATGGACGAGCCACCTGTTATTGATATGGATACTTTAGAATCAAGGAAAAGATTAAAAGCCAAGCAAGAAGAAGATGAAGCTAACGAAGACGGGGAAATAAATGCGGGAACTGGACGAAAACGAGCAGAAAGGCAAATTTATCGTGATGCTGCTCTTGAGGAAAGATTTTATCGTTATGGAATTAGGCCAGAATGGCTACAAGTTCATCGTGTAATTAATCATAAACAATTGAGAGATGGAAGTTATTTGTATCTTGTAAAATGGCGAGATCTTCCTTATGATCAAGCATCATGGGAATATGAAGAGCAAGAGGATTTCGAAATTCCAGAGCTGAAACGAGCTATTCAAGCTTATTGGGATTTACGTTCAGCGACTGAAATAATGCATGGAGGAGGTAGCAGTAAAAAGTCTAGTAAAAAATCAAATAAAAAGTCAAAAGGGAAAGATCACGATGCTAATGTGGAGCGATTTTATACACCACCTCCAGATAAACCTACTGTTGATCCTAAAAAGAAGTTTGAACGTCAACCAGCATATGTTGATGCAACTGGTATGGAACTTCATCCATATCAATTAGAAGGTATAAATTGGTTGCGTTATTCTTGGTCAAATGGAACTGACACGATTCTTGCCGATGAAATGGGTTTAGGTAAAACAATTCAGACCATTGTTTTTCTTTATTCCCTGTTCAAGGAAGGTCATTGTAAAGGACCTTTCCTTGTTTCAGCACCGTTATCGACTATAATCAATTGGGAGAGAGAGTTTGAAGTGTGGGCTCCTGACTTTTATGTTGTCACATACATCGGAGATAAAGACAGTCGTGCAGTTATTCGAGAGCATGAATTAAGTTTTGAAGAAGGAGCTGTACGAGGTGGTTTTAAAGCATCACGTATTCGAAAAGAGTGTCCAATAAAATTTCATGTACTTTTAACATCCTATGAACTTATCTGTATCGACAATGCAACACTTGGTTCAGTTGATTGGCAGGTGTTAGTTGTGGATGAAGCTCACAGACTTAAAAATAATCAATCTAAATTTTTCCGCATCCTGAATGCATATAAAATTGCTTACAAACTTTTATTGACTGGTACTCCATTGCAAAATAATTTGGAAGAATTGTTTCATTTACTCAATTTTTTGAGTCCTGCTCGATTTAATGATTTGCAAGGTTTCTTAAATGAATTTGCAGATATTGCAAAAGAAGAACAAGTTAAAAAACTTCATGACATGCTTGGACCACATCTTCTTCGTCGATTAAAAGCTGATGTATTAAAAGGAATGCCAACTAAAAGTGAATTTATTGTTAGAGTGGAATTGACTCCAATGCAAAAGAAATTCTATAAATATATCTTGACACGTAATTTCGAAGCTCTCAATACCAAAGGTGGAGGACAACAGGTTTCTTTGATAAATATAATGATGGATTTGAAAAAGTGCTGCAATCATCCATATTTGTTCCCTGTTGCAGCACAAGAAGCACCTTTAACACCAAATGGAGCATATGAAGGGACTGCGTTAACAAAAGCAGCAGGAAAACTAATTGTACTTCAAAAGATGATGAGGATACTCAAAGATACTGGTCACAGAGTTTTAGTTTTCTCTCAAATGACTAAAATGTTAGATATACTGGAAGATTTCTTAGAAGGTGAAGGATATAAATATGAGCGAATTGATGGTGGAATTACTGGATCACAGAGACAAGAAGCAATTGACAGATTTAATGCACCAGGAGCCCAACAATTTTGTTTCCTATTGTCAACTAGAGCTGGTGGTTTGGGTATTAATTTGGCAACAGCTGATACTGTTGTTATCTATGATTCTGATTGGAATCCACATAATGACATTCAAGCCTTTTCTCGAGCTCATCGTATTGGTCAAGCTAATAAAGTAATGATATATCGATTTGTGACACGAGCTTCGGTTGAAGAAAGAATAACTCAAGTGGCTAAAAAGAAAATGATGTTGACTCATTTGGTCGTTAGACCTGGAATGGGAGCTAAAAATACAATGTCAAAACAAGAATTGGATGATATTTTAAGATTTGGTACTGAAGAGTTGTTTAAAGAAGAAGAAGGCAAAGAAGAATCGGCTATTCATTATGATGACGATGCGATTAAAGGATTATTAGATCGATCTCAAGAAGGTATCGAGCAAAAAGAACTTTGGGCCAATGAATATCTTAGTTCGTTCAAAGTTGCCGCATATGCTACCAAAGAGGCAGAAGAAGAAGAACCTGAGACTGAGGTTTTGAAACAAGATGTTGAATCTGCCGATCCTGCTTATTGGGAGAAACTTTTAAGGCATCATTATGAACAACAACAGGAAGATCTTTCACGAACTCTTGGTAAAGGTAAACGTGTGCGAAAACAAGTTAATTATAATGATGCTTCTGGAGGTCAAGAAGATACAAACTGGCAAGACAATGTATCTGAATATAATTCTGACTTTTCTGTTCCTTCTGGTAAGTTTTTTTTCTCATTCTTGTTATTTTTTACAATTATTATTCTCGTATTAATGACTTTGTTTTGCTTCTTTTAAATATTAGATGATGATGACTTTGAGGAAAAAACAGAAGAAAAAACTGGTCGACGTAAAGGAAGAAATGAGAAAACTGAGAAAGATAAACCATTGCCTCCTCTTTTGGCCCGAGTTGGTGGTAATATTGAGGTATTTATCATTTTATTCAGATTTCTTTTATTTCTATGTAAATAAAATTAAGCATCAAATTAATATTAATATTAGTACATCAGAATAAGCATTTGATGATTAAAAAATTTGATGCTAGAATATAGATTTATATCTTTAGGGGTTAGTTTTATTTTTCGTCTATGTGTACCTTATTTACTAAAATTGATACTATGTAGATGAAAATTAATGATTACTAACTCAAAGGCGATATAATACATGTTTTAATTATTGACAATAATTTAACTAATTGTTTTTACAGGTTCTTGGTTTCAATGCACGTCAAAGAAAGGCTTTCTTGAATGCTATTATGCGTTATGGTATGCCACCACAAGATTCATTTAATTCACAATGGTTGGTTCGTGATTTACGTTGTAAATCAGAGAGAAACTTTAGAGCATATGTTTCACTTTTCATGCGTCATCTTTGTGAACCTGGTGCTGACCATTTGGAAACATTTGCTGATGGTGTTCCTCGTGAAGGAATGTCAAGGCAACATGTTCTTACAAGAATTGGTATAATGTCATTAATTAGAAAGAAAGTACAAGAATTTGAACACATTAATGGTATACAAAGTATGCCTATTCCTGAAGCACCCGAAATACCTAAAGAGCAGAATGGTACAAAAGAAACTGCAACTCCATCTTCAATGTCAACTCCAAATGATAGTAAAGCTGCTACTCCACAACCTGCTGCTGAATCGAAAGAAGATTCAGTGATTGGAAAAGATAATGAATCAAAAGGAGAAATAGATGAGACGCAAATTAAAGAGAAAGAGAAAGATAAGATTGAAGCTGAGAATGAGAATGAGAATGAAAATGAAGCTGATATTGAGATGAAAGAAATTAAAGAAGAAAAGCTTGAAGATAAAGAGATTGGTGAGGGCGATGAAGAAGAGCAAGAAGAGGAAGAAATAGTAGAATTAGCAAAAGAAGATGGTGAAGAAACTAAAAATGATGAAAAGAAAGAGAATGAAACATCTAGTGACGAAATGAAAGTCGAAAAAGATGAAGAAAAAGAAGAAATCGAAGAAGTAATCGAAGATGAAAACAAAGAGAAAGAAGTTACAGAAGGAGAAGAGGACGATAAAATGAAAGAAGGAGAAATAGGAGAAGACGAAAATAAAGAAGAAAAAGAAAAAGATGAAGAAGAGAAAGAAGTGGAAGAAGAGGTAAAAGAAGGAGAAGGAGAAGAAGGAGAAGATAAAATGGAAGTTGAAAAGACTGAGAAAACTGATGAAAATATTAAAAATGATGATGATGAAGTCAAAGAATTGGAAACATCTGATGACGGTCCTCAAGTAAACAAAGAATCTGCTGAAGAAACTAAAGAAATCAAAGAAGAGGCCAAAGATATTGAAATGAAGGAAAATGGTGAAAAATGTACAAAAGAATCTGACGAGAAAATGTCACAAAAAGTCGCTAAAATTGAAAAGGCTGAAAAAATTGAACAGGAAATTGTCAAACGCCGATTCATGTTCAACATTGCCGATGGTGGATTCACAGAGCTTCATACTCTTTGGCAAAATGAGGAAAGAGCAGCTCAGGGCCGAGAATATGAAATCTGGCATCGAAGACATGATTATTGGCTTTTATCTGGTATCGTCAAACATGGTTATGGACGATGGCAAGATATTCAAAATGATCCAAACTTCATGATAATCAACGAACCATTCAAGATGGATGTTGGTAAAGGAAACTTTTTAGAAATAAAAAACAAATTTCTCGCTCGTCGATTCAAACTTTTAGAGCAAGCTTTGGTTATTGAAGAGCAATTGAGACGGGCAGCTTATCTTAATATTATTCAAGATCCGACCCATCCAGCAATGGCCCTTAATTCCCGTTTCGCCGAGATGGAAGCTTTAGCCGAATCTAATGCTCACCTTTCCAAAGAATCTCTTTCTGGTAACAAACCAGCAAATGCAGTTCTCCATAAAGTCCTGAATCAATTAGAAGAACTTTTAGGTGATATGAAATCTGATGTATCCAGATTACCTGCAACTATTGCTCGTATACCACCTGTAGCCCAAAGGCTACAAATGTCTGAAAGACGAATTTTATCCCGTTTAACTGGACAACCTCAACCTTTTATCACACCTAGTGGAGATCAAAGTACAACTGCATCATTTGCAAATCAAACCTCGTCTTAAGGAATTCAGAGCATGAATGATACAATTATTCATCATTATAATTGAAAGTTTAGCCAAAATTCCCCATTTTTACCATTTAACTTTGACTTTACTTTCGCTAATTTCACGATTTACATTATCAATAATCGAATTATCGATAATTTCATAAAACATGTATCATTAATACTATGTACGTATATGTACTAGTACTTAATACCGATCTTTCATTCTAAAATTTGAAATAAAATTTTCAACTGTAATACTTGGAATATTATTATTCAATTAATCACTTAATTTTAATTTAATTCATTGAATGGATGTTGAACAGGAAGATGACATAGATGATGATAAATTGTGGTTATTGATCTCTTAAGAGCATTGAAAGAACTGTTTTCACCATATGATGTGCTTAGTAAAATTGCTTTATCGTTGACAATGTTGGAACAGCTTACATTGGTCGTGCTTCGTAATGCACACTACCAACTAAATTTAACTTGTGTTTAAAAAAATATTTGAACAAATTATTAATTGCACTAAAACAGTAGTATGTAAAATAAATTTGACTAAAAATTCACTGAAAACGTTTTTATTTAATTTCTCATCAATCAGAGAATTCAGATCAGAGTTACAGAGATACTTAATTATACAAGAAGCTAAAACAAACAATTGTTAAAACACCAAGAATTTTTACTTGGTCAAATAGCCTCTGAAAATCTAATTTGCCGATTTTTCAATTTAAAAACTGAAAGAGCAACAAATTTTTATTTTAAATATCGATAGTTATGTTCACGAGATGTAAAAATGTAAACTCAGATTTCATCGATTGACAGTTACGCTGTAGGTTTGAATATACAAATATTGATTGTAAAAATTCTGGTCATCATCAAATTAGAATGATAAATAAAAAATTAAACTCAAGCATAACCTGATGATATAAATTTAATCGTTGACAATATTGTCCGTGTAAATGTGAATAGAGACCAAGTTTAAAAAATAAATATTCACTTGAGTTGGAAATTCTAATCAAAATACCTTCAACAATTTGTTATGTATTATCTAATGAGGATGTAAGTTACAAAAAAATTGAATAAAAAGAAGTTAAATTATCCCCAATCATCTTCATGATACTGGTTGGCCTTTTGAGCGTCATCTTTGTTGCCTCCTAATCCCCAAACACGAATGAAGCGTCTGCTACCAGAGATCAATACAGGATAATCTCGGTGAAATCCAGTCTCGAATCGAGAATCTCGATTACATTGTCACCCATTAATGTTGTTTTGCTGTAGAAAGGAGCTACCTGGTGGGATATCTTGTGGCTTTTACTGGCGCCATATTAAAATTGTCAACAGTTAGCGCTGAACAAAAGGTACTAATGTATTAGATTGAAGAGTCATAGGTTACAGCAAAAGCAACTCTCGCGTCATGGCGTCAGTAAAAGCCATACTTTTACTCACATTTGTTAAATGCTGTTTCTAAATAATTCAGGTTCAATTCCTTGTAACTCTTTTAGTATCCTCACCTCAATGAGTCTGACAATTCCAGTTCAAAATAAGACTCTCTTATTTAGAGACTCTAATGTCTGGAGAGTCCTAAGTCTTGTCAACTAGAGGCTGATTCCGATTTAAAATAAAAAATCATCTTTGTTTTTATTTCAAGTTTAATAGAATCTCAGTTTGGAATGGTTCATCAATTTAATAAATGGTAAGACAAATGATTTATTTTTCTACTCTTTGGGTATAACAATATATGACTTGTTACCGAATCTATATGTACTGTTATTATTGCATTAAGATTGATCTTGACTATTCCTTGTGAATTCACCATTTCTCTAAATTGGAATTTTACAGATCCACCACACATTCGTTAAATTCATACATAATTGGCCGCTAAATTGGCAAATGGAGCGATCCCCGGACAATCTTACTTCTGGATCAACCTTGGATATAATCGCAGAGATGTCATCAATTCTTGATACTGGTCTTGATTCGGAAATCCTATCCATTTGCCATCGACTACTTGAATGTGGTGTCAGTGCGAAGCTTTTAGCTAAAGCTTTCAGAGAGATTAAAAACAGTAAAATTCAAAAAACCCCTGTTCAATAATGTGCGTATCTATGGAATAAAACAAATGAACTTTCGGTTTTGCTGTTATAAATGCGTGAACACATTTGTTGGCAGCTTAATCTATTTACATTCAACCCAATTTCAGTCGATGGATATGAGTCTCTGTGAAAATTACGTGTCGATTCCGCAGTAAACAATAATTCCAACAGACAAAGAAAGGACGAGGACATGAGTGTTTTTTCTTGGAACCATTCAATCATCCTTCTCTGATCACTATTGGAGTCAAAGAAGTCTTTCAATGGGGATGAAGAGCAACGCGAAGGGACAATTCAAGAAACAATACAAGAGACATTAATTTTGAATTTACTTTCGCTAATTTCACGATTTACATTACAATAATCGAATCATCGATAATTTCATAAACAATGTATCATTAACACTATGTACTATGTATTCAATACTGATCTTTCAATCTAAAATGTGAAATGAAATTTTAAACTGTAACACTTGGAATATTATTCTTTAATGAATCACTGAATTTTAATTTAATTTACAAAATGTTTTATTAATTATTCTTTACTGACTACTGTTTGTATCAACTATTTCATTATCTGTTACATTGTTAATTGAATGGTTAATTAGCTGTTAGCAAAATATGTGATTGTCCAGGTTGATGTCTAACATTTGATTGCTGGTTTTCATTGTGAGAATAAGATGGCGATGCTTCAATTGTTTCTAATGGACATAAATGGTTCAATTTATGAAGATAATTGAAGTTAACTGGAATATTAACAGGATGAAGGACTGAATAGAGATCCTCTGATTCGGAACAGGTGAACCAATGTGATATTAATTGAGGATTGATCGACAGTGGAATATAAAAAGTGCCATTAGGATGCAAAGCAAATGCTGGAATGCTGGTGACAATTTTTTCCTTGTACTTGAAAACCTTACCGATGTTGTGGAGATTTGCTGTAGAGAAATAAGAGGATGTTGAACAGGAAGACGATGAAGATGATGATAAATTGTGAATATTTTGTGAATTACTATGATATCCTACAGGTGATATATGTTTACCTTCATACGAACGTGAATTGGATAATGAGGTTCGATTTTCAGTTAAAGATGATTGTCCAAATCCATTGGAGCAGTTGTTGGTAGGTTGAGTATTTGAATCAGATGATCGTTTAAATTCTTGATTCATTGCTAATTGAAATCTTTCTTTGATTCCCTTTTTATAGAAACGATGTTCAGCTGATGGTGAAACTGAATTTGATCGAGTCAGGCCATTGGAAGATTCTGACGATTTTTTAGGATAATCTGAAATAATATTGTTACAATTTTTAGTAATTACCTCAACCGATGAACCATAAGGTTTGGAATATAAATTTGAATTGTAATTGTAAGAAGAGAGTGGAGTAAATGGTGATCCAGCCATTGAATTGGTTGTTGTTGTTATACCTGACATTGTAACATCTGAATCTGCATTGGTGTTGGTTTCATTTTTCAACATGTCTCTCAATCGACTGCCACCAGTTTCAAGTTTATTCAGATAACAGTTGTCTATTGATTCCATTTTCATATTCTCAATATTGCGATTCCCTGAAAATGAACTTATCTTATTAATACACGGAGCTGGTGTTGATCCAGATCTTGTGGTTCCCTCTGACATGACGGACGATATTGAAGCTGATCTTTCACGTATTTCACCAACTTGTTTCACATGATTCATTGAACTATTATCTGTTATAGTTGCCGTTGTTTTGGCTGTAACAACACTTGGATTACAAGATGATATGGAGGAGGGTGAGGAGGAGGACGATGATGAAGAGGAAGAGGATGAACATGGCTGCTGTACTGATGCAGTTGAACCTGATGGAATCACTGATTCACAGCTAGAAAGAGGCATTATTTTGGCTAAATGGTCTCCTAAATGGTTAACCAAACTTTGGCATAAAACATCACTTGGTAAAAGACCGTTCATTTCAACCAGAAAACGCATTACTTCGGATATAGATTCTCGAAATCCGTGTCGAAACTCTTCCTTTTTCTCTTCTTCATTTAATCGTAGTTCACATCTATTTACATCGACACAATTAACTTTATTATGAGTCTCCAAGTGCTTTATGTGTTTAATGGCCATCTCGATTATTTCTGTCTTCTCGATCCGGCCTCGTCCCTAATTATTGGAGTACATTGTTAATGCATTATGTGTCAAAACACAGTAAAGAGTTTTTGTTTAGGAATAAATGATTGTGGTTTTTGGTGGATTTTGTATGTTTTTTTCAAGTTTTTAACTTTCATTTTTTTTCTCTTCTTCTGTTGATTAAGTTATAATCATAATTGCGATGACAATGTGCAAATTGTCATTTTGTCATTAAAACAAAATTTATAACAGAAGGTCAGTTTCCCCAGAGGAACGACAAGCAAGTCAAAACTACGGGAAGAAAAGTAAAATGATCATTCCAAAAAAAAGTGATGCAAACAGTGGTTTAAGACAGGGTTAAGGGTAAATTGCATTTCAATTGTCATTTACTTTCAACAATCAACTCTAATTGGGATAAATCATTCCTGAATTAACGGTCAATCTACCTGATTAGCTCTTGAATTGGCTTCACAAACACTATTCAGGTTTGGGTAAACAAAGCTTTGTTTTCAACATCAAACCCAAAGCATCATCATTGCTTTAAATCATTATTGACTTGAACTTGAAATTGAAATTAAAAAATGACCTTAACTATAATCATCGACTCGATTGAATGCATTTGCTTGGTTTGATTTGAAACAAAAATTTGATCACATTTGATTACATTTGAGAAGCAAATTCAAAGTTGAATCGAAATGAATTGTTGAAAGAAATGATTACGACTTGATGTTGATAAAAAAGGGATAAATTGGGAATTATAAATTGAATAAAATAATAGACAAATTGTAAGAACCTTTTGCTTTTCCCAGAATTCAAGTTAATTCAATTAATCCTAAATTAATGCTACATTAATTTTTGCCTTAATTTTGTTGTTCAAGAAAATTGTCTAAATTTAATTTGATGATATAAGACGGATTTCAATGAATTGTCATTTTGAAGCTTCTTTTGCTGTTGACTTTCGTTCACTAATTTGATATATTTTATAAATTATTTGGCTTTTTAATCATTAATCTGTTCGTAATGTAGCAATTGAGTGATTAACTGATGAAATTTGGGTTGATGTTCGGATGATAATTACGGTGATTCCTTATACCGAGTAATAAGTTTTTGGTAAAGGAAAACGAAGTGTTCAAGGAAAGGCTTCCAATGGAAGGAGGCAGCAATTACATCGATTACAATTTGTTTCATTGAGTTAATTCAACAACCCCGTAATATGTTTCCTTGTTGAATAGCCATAAGTAAATCGCCATTCCCTGTCTGATAGATAGAAGAGAAATTCTCTAAATTCTCTGTCGAGTAATTAATGTTTGTGTTGGATTGTTTGCTGTATATTAATAAGATTAATTATCAATATGACAACAACACTTGATGATGTTTTGATTGTTGAGTGAAAGAGTGAGAAAAAGGTTTGTTTGTTTGTTTGATTAATAATTGTAAACATCCACAAATGGATACACTGTTTTCAATGATAATCATAGCTATTGGGTTGTAATCGCCTGTAATTAATCACAATTTTGTGGCTCTAAAGGTTGTTGTTTATATTCAGTGTGGAACCAATGTAAATCATTTCTAGGTTAATTTAATCATTGGAGATGGCTTGTAATGTTGGAAGCAATTTAAGGATAATTTTTAGGCATTTCAAATTCATGAGCATAAATGCATTTATCAGTTTCTTGCTTTGAATGGCAATGGCAAGAAACAATGATAAAATTCAAGCAATTGGAAGCATTTGTTTGGGAACCAAAAAAATGAAGCATAATATTTGATTGCTGTCTTGTTTTTTGATTAACTGACTTCAACAAGCAACAAGAATCATGGGACAACTCTGAGAAATGTTCATTCAAAACACCAGAAGCAGTAATGGGATTTGAAGCAAGCAAATATACAAGCAATGATAAAAGATGAACAAAAATTGGAAATGAATTTTGGAATGAGATTGAATATAAAGGATTTCAAGCAGTTGTTTTGTCATTATTAATTTATAATAAGGGAAGCAAGTGGGAGGAATGGTTAGTATAGTTAATGGTTTAATTATTGATTAGTTTCAAAAATAATCTCACCTTTTTGAAGTAACTGGTTGGAATTAGTTTACTCAAATCAGCCAAGCAATTGTTCATCCGATCTCGTCGTCTCTTCTCGATGATACGATGAGACTGTGGGTCCTGTTTATGGATAATAGCAATAATACAATTCAAATGGCGATTAACATCAAAAATATTAATAAACTTGTTATTTTTAAAACATTTAAGATGATTAAGATGAAAAGATGAACGGAATAATATCAATACTGAAAAATTGAGAAAATGATCGACATTGAATTGGTAAGATCTCAATCATTTTTTGTAATTTCAGCTGTTGGATAAAAATAAACAATAGCAACGACAGGTCAAGACTATTATGGTTAGTAATTATCAAAATATTTCAATTGGTTTTGTTTAATTTTACCATATTACACTTTAATAGTAACAGAAGTCTGATTAAATCAAATTAAATTGTTAACAGCTAATAGAAACAGTAGATGGAGCTCAATCTCGACGTTACGCTGACAGTGTTACGCCCTCAAGAAAGTGTAGTTTTAGTTTTCACAATATGATTATTTGATGGTAAATTTAGTTTAATTTTTTTTCTTTTATTCTTGTCGGGACTGTGTTTTATGGAAATTTTATTTATTTTGTTTTATAATTAGTCAATTTTTGGGCAATTTGGGCTCTATTCTATTCATGGATTTAATAAAGACACCATCTGCCACAAGTAGTGATCCATTATCTAAGTTAAATGGCTGTGATCATCTTCTCATTGAGTTGGAATCAAATGATTCATCCTCACTTAGCCTTGTATTCAGGTAATATCCATAGCAATGTTTATTTTTGCTTATGTTTGCTTATTAATCGGCACTGATTTGCAGTAATATCTTCACGTCATTGAGTGTGTGTGTGAGAGAGATGGGTGATATTAATTACTGCAAGTTTTTGGCTAAGTTTACTTTGCCGTTATTTCCTTTAATAATCTTCGTCATGTTTTTCATTTATTTGCATTACTTTCATTCTTTTTTAAAGTAACAGAACCGTTGGTGATCAATATGAACAATTTATGGAGAAATTGAGTGCGCGAATCAAAAGCCATGACAAAGATATTGAACGAATGTGTAACTCTAATTATCAAGATTTTGTTGACTGCATCCATGACCTCCTACAAGTTAGACCTAAAGCTGATCAGCTGAAGAAGGAAATAATTGAAATCAATAGAGATGTACAAAAATCTTCCGAGAATGTCCAACGTCAAGCAGAAGAACTTATTAGATATCGTAAGATAGTATGCAATATTGAGACAGCTATTGAACATCTCAGTTTGTGTTTACCGGTTTTGCAGATGTATAATAAACTGACATCTCAGATGGAGGCTACCCGATACTATCCGGCTCTTAAGACACTAGAGCAACTAGAAACCACTTATTTACCTAGAGTTTCAAATTACCGCTTTGCTCAAGCCATGAGAGACAAAATTCCGCAAATAAGGGAAGAAATTAAAGAAGCATCAATGTCAGACTTGAAAGATTTTCTCGAGAATGTGAGAAAAAGTTCCCCATTAATTGGCGAGATAGCCATGAAAAACGCAGCTCATCAGCAGAATATTGATGATTCCTTATTCAATAATGATGTGTCTATCAAGGATAACTTGTTTGAGCTCGAAAACACAATCAACAGCAAAAGCACAACAGTAATTCCTGTTAACTCACCAAATGTCATTGATACTTCAACATTGAATGGTAAAAGTCATATGGTAAATTCAAAGAAGAAAAAACAAGCTCCAAAACCACCCCTTTCATCATCTTATGATGATAATCTTGATCAAATTGACACTGAATCAGATTTTGACGTTAATACAAATGATGACGAATTAAAGGGAACGGATATAATCGATTTTTCTCCAGTTTACCGATGTCTACACATATTTGGATGCCTTGGGGCATCAGAACTTTTTGAAACTTATTATCAACAGCAACGCCAGCAACAAGCAAAACTTGTCCTCCAATCACCGACAAATATGCACGAGAATATCGAAGGATACAAAAATTACTTTTGTAGTGTCGTTGGCTTTTTTGTTATAGAGAACCATATTTACAATACTGCCCCTGGTTTAGTCACTAAAATTTACCTCAACGAAGTTTGGGAGAATGCACTTCAATCAGTCATTGCGGTTCTTCGAACTTATTCTTCCTATTGTACCGATGACCAGCTGATGCTTCAAATCAAAAGGATCATTATACTATTTAGCAACACACTACAAAGCTATGGATACAATGTCAATCCACTTTTCAGTCTCCTCATCGAAATACGTGATCAATACAATGAAATCTTGATGAAACAATGGTGCTCAATTTTCCGATCCATTTTTGATGCTGACGACTATCATCCTTTACAAGTGTATACACCATCACAATATAATGAAATAATTGCCGAATTCCCTTTTTACGAAAATGAAACTGTTTCTATTGGGGAGTCTGATTATCCAAAGAAGTTTCCCTTCTCGTCGTTTGTGCCTAAAGTTTTCATTCAAGTAAAGCGTTTCATCAATGCTTGCCGTGAATTTTCTTCAGATCTCAATATTAGTGCAACAGAAATTGAAGACATGGTTCGAAAATCAACAAATCTATTACTAACTCGAACGTTAAGTGGGTGTCTATCGGTTCTGATAAAAAAACCAGGACTTGGTCTTCTCCAGTTGATTCAGATTGCATTTAACACTGACTATCTTGAAAACTCAATGAGTCACTTGGAAGAGTATATTTCCATGTCATCATCATTGAACAATATGAATGAGCTAGCTGGAAGCTCTCATCTTGCTAAATTACAAGGAAGTTCAATGTTTAAAGATGCAAGATCCGATGCTGAGTCACAAATTTATTTTCTTTTGAACCAGAAAATTGATGAATTTTTTGAAATTGCTCATTATGATTGGATGTTGGTTGAACCTTTAGGAGTAGCTTCTCCATATATCACAGACCTTCTTAAATTTTTAACAACAACATTTCAAGCCTTAACCAATTTACCTGGTAGAATTGCTCAAACAGCGTGCCTTTCAGCCTGTAAACACATGGCTTCTTCACTGATGAACTTTTTACTAGACGAAGATGTTAGATCAATATCAATGGGAGCTTTGGAACAATTTAATCTTGATTTACTACAATGCGAATTTTTTGCCAGCTCTGAACCAGTAAAAGGCTTCGAGGACAATATATTGCAATTGTGTTTCACTGAACTTCGTCAATTGGTCGATTTACTTCTATCCTGGCAATGGTCAACTTATATTGCTGATTATGGGAAACAAGAAAGCAAATATTCGCGAGTAAATCCGCAAATTGCGTTAAACTTATTGGAAAAGATAAAAGAAACTGACGGCAATCGAAACATTTTCACCTCATTCAAGAAAAATGAAAGGGACAAGAAAAAATTGGTGGACACTGTCACAAAACAGTTGAAACAGATAATAGCCGCAAATGCCTCTTATTAATGCGTACACAAATTACCAAAACAATTTAATGTGCCTTTTTAGATCACTGAGAAGGCTCATCAACCCACAATGATCTAAATCTGCTAAATTATTGAAACAAGTCACAACGAGAGCACAACAAATCAATATGTATATTTAAATGACTTCTTAATTAACCTAGTGATTATTTTTCCAGATCAATAATTGTTGAAACATTACCAGATAGCTTTATTTATCGCACGGCAAAACAAATACGTGGACTTAGTCAACTAACAATCATGTTAATTAATTTTTTACCCCAAGACCCTAATTCATATCATATTTAACTGTGATATTTATTATTGAATATTATGACTTTGCTAAGCAATGAACTCTTATTGATATCTTCTTCCCAAATTGTCACAAAACACTATTTTTGATTGCTGTTTAAATAACGTCACATTACCTAAATTATTTATTCCAATTTTCTCAGCATTCCTTTCAAATCTTTAACCAATTCCATTAATTTCAGAAGAATACATTTTAAGTAGTTTAATCAATCTTCAGTCATTATTATCGAGCTTATATCCAAGTAAATGTAATCAATTTGTCATTTTACTATTGTTAAATTATCCAATAAAAAATGAATTTTCTGATAACCTCAATAATTTCATTATTCATATTATTCTCGTTCTTATTCACAGTCTGTTAAATTAAAACCATTTCAATGTTGAAAAAAATTTAGATTTTTAATTTTCCTAAATTCATTTCATTTCAAATCCATAGTTTTTCATTAGACGATACAAAAGTCGATTTCAATTTGAATCGCCCAAAAACGGTGATCATTTAACAACGTTAACATTATCGTTTTCTGGTGAAACAATTCTATGTTTTTTCACTTGAAGAATAGCATTGATTTTCAAAATAAATGCCAACCATCGTAATCATTTATGTATATTTTTATCTTGCTCATTGAAATAGATTCTATCACCATCAACGTAACAATATTTCTCAAGTTATATTCACATGATATGGGTGGTTTAGTGCAACAATAGTACTAAATTAAGCACAAATATGACAACATTGACTCAGAAATTTGCTGATTGTTGGGTTGGCTGATAATAGCTTTATGGGTTTCGAGTAAATTTCACATTTAATCGATAAGATCAATGTTAAATGTCAATCGGCCTCTTTTAATATTCAATCTCATATTAGTTTCTTCGATGTTACTCTCGCACCTAAATGAAATCACAAACATTTGTTGTTATCAACAAAAATTATTCAATATTGATGCTTAAAACTACTCAACTGTTGGTTATAATCTTGATAAGAAATGTTGGAAATGATTAAATGTAATAGAGATTGAAACCACGTGAATTAAAGACAAATAAGAGCGTGAATCATGCTGATTGTGGTGATAAAATGTAATCGCCTTCAATTTACATTGAAACAAGAGCCATTCATTTACGGGAAACAAATTGAAAGTCACACTAAACAAATTAATAGCAAATACGTATTTTGTATTCAAACGATATAATCAGTTTTCACGTAAATTTTTGGTTAAACCTGTTGTACAGATATTTGTCACACGTAGTTATGACAATTAATTAGTGATTTAAGTTGACAAAAATTGCGTGCAAACCTTAATCACAAATGTAAACGGAAAAACCCAATTAAGTTGTTTTCTTGCCAATGTTACTTTTGATCTCATTTGTTGTCTCCTAGATTCAGATCACTATCAGTACCCTCCTCAGAGTAGAAATGAATTAACAACGTCAATCAATTTTACGATTGATAAACAATCAAAGGTACAATCACCAGTAACCATGATAATAAAACAAAATGGTTGAGTCAAAGTAATCGAGAAACCCAAACCAGGATTCACTTAAAAATTGCCAATCAGGTTCAATTTTCAGGCCTAATCATACGATTACATTGGTTGCAACTACTTGATATACAAAATGGAAAGGTAAATGTTTAAGTCTGACACTTGAGAATCAATTACACTATTTTTGTCAATGTTAATGTTAACAATAGACTGATAAATAACAGTTAGAGAGTTAGTTAGAAGGTCAATAGTCCAAAATATTAAATCTAATCATTCATTGTAATTAACAGCGCGTGATGGATAAACTGGAAAGTAGAATCAATTTTGTCATTTCAATGGGCAACATGAACCAGAATATTCCGATATTTTTTGTTATCATTGTAATAAATGTGACTTTTTTTACTCACAATTTGTTATCATTGATTGTAGACAATTTCAAGTGATTAATCTGTTTACACATCTTCAAATTGTAACCAATGTAAACCAACAACCACTCAATGACTGAAAACGGTTGCTTTTTTAATGTACGTTTGTAGTTATACAAATGATATTGCATTTGTATCATGATAATTGTCCAAATTCAATTGACTATTAATCTTGATCAACTAATTTACCCTAATTTGTCTTCTATCATCTAATATTAAATGAATGAACTTGTCCTATTGTTATTGACAGCAAAGATTGAACCTGATGATGATAAATTGTCACGAGCTTTGATTAACATTGAGATCATTCTTACGGCCACAAGAAAATACTCAACACCTAATACAACAATTAAATATACAAATTTGTTCCAAGGCTCGGAAAATGAGTTGATAATCATTGCAATCAATAAATTCAATTGAAACATTACTCTCAATGTTTATGCAATTGAATTGGGTAAACTTGAGCAATGATTTGGCCAATCGAGAAGCAAATGAATTAGCATTTATATAATCTGAAGAGAAGAGACAAGGATTTAGATTATCTGTTGATTAACTAATTGTAAACAATTGAGATGAACCGGCCTCAACTGGGACTTTCCTCCTACAAGTAAATAGTTGCTCTTCCGGACTCATTATAATCAAAAGGATAATTATAATTCACCAGATAATTTACTTGTGATAGTTTGGGTTGAAATGAAACATAAAAGCTTGACATTTGGCTAATCAACAATCATGAGCATTTATCAATAAACTATGGTTAAACCAATTGAAAGGATATCACATGGGAAGAGGATTGAATAAATTCTGGTGAATGGATGAAATGTGAACATAATCAAATTGATAATCATCTTTATCTTGTAACATCTAATTCAATGTTCATTAATGATTAGCCTCGCATGGGAAAAGTTATTAATGTGGTGAGAACAGAATTGGAAATTGTGCTTTTTAAAAATATTTCCAACTGATTTAGTCAAGTCACGCGTTAACTGATCATTGTTCAATGTGAGCAAAGCCATTTTGATTGTTTAAACTGGTAAGTAAACACTTGGCTTGATATAATTACAATCCGTACATCAGGAATCACCAGATTAATCAACATACAGACAGGGTTAATCTTTGAAAATAAACAAGGAAAAAATCACCTCTAATAAGCCTTTGGGTTTGAAAATGATAATGTTCATCCCATTGAGCGTCATCACAGGCTAAAGATGTCCAATAAAAGCAAATATAAAAATATGAAGGCTGTCTGATTGTTTATATTGAATGTTGTGATCAATGTAAATATTATTGAATATCATGACAATTTGTTTGAAAAAACAAATGTATCCAAGCCTTGTGATGCTATTGGAGATGATGATTTAGCATCACGTGGTCACGTTTTCCAGCACAATCTGGATCAACAGACAAATATTAGTCAATTATTCTGTATTTTTTATCTTTATTTTTGCCATTTTATTCAAAGATCATAAGTATCATCTTGTTGTCCATAAATGATAATCATAAACAACAAGCCATCAAGACTCTCTTTTAACAATGTTTTCCTTGGAATGTAATTGGATAATTGTTCAACAGAGTTGCCAATCAATTTAATGAGACCACTTGACGATGGACTTGAATAACTTGGATGCAAGTAGTGATCCATTCCGAAGCTCATTGATCTCATGGAAAGAGATAGAGTCTCATCTTTTCCGCCCCCAAAGAGACTTGAATCCTCCTTTTAATTTTCATTGCTAGGTGATAATTTAACACGAGATACTTGTAATTTTTCCAACCAAACTCAGCAAGGGATTTGATCATGTTATGATCTCAATCCAAATATCATGTGCAACAGATCAATAGCATGCTTTGTAACAGGTTTAACCATCATTCCTATCTCCTCGTGTTTCCCTTATTTTGGGAATCTTAATGAACAATACGCAACAGGTTGTAATAAGAACCAATATTAAAGGTGTACTTGATTAATCCACGAGACCAAACCATTAGCTAACAATTTATCCTTTTTCATTTCGCTGTAAATATTGATTTTCAACAAGGCATGTGAGTGTTGCGCATTGGGTTCATCTTTCGCTTAGCATGTAAATAGGCCTAAGGGTAGAACTGGTTGGCCATCAGATGCACATTATAAACCAGTCGATGTGTCACCCACAAAAAATGGGAAAGCCTCGTGTCAAGCATAATCAAGCAACAGGCAAGTGATCATTGTCAACAGATCATACATTTGAGTGGAGGAAGAACACGCGGGGAGAAGGGAAACCTTGAGATATAATTAGGGTCTATCAATCTTGGTTAACTAGTTAAACTAGTTGGTTTATTAGTCGTCAACTCCCCTGATGATCAAGTCTCACAATATCGAGCAAACGAATGGAAGATTAGCCAGAAACATCAGCAGTGCACAGAAACTGGTAAGACAAAGGTAGCTTAGTAGTGAGGGTAAACAGTAACAATTGAAACATTCAGTCGGTAGTCTTGTTGATTCAATCTGATGTAAGGGTGGAATCTCCTCAGTTAAACACACTGATATTCAACCATTTTGAAATTGAAAATTGACATGAGATAAGAATCAGAAGAAGAGCAAAAGATAACGGCGAAAGGTGTTTTCATTGGTACACAAGGAGCAAAAGAAACTGACTCACTGTAGATAAGACACTTTCAAGTCTATAATCCTACCACAAGAAGGAGGTATTTTATGGTGACAAAAACAATGACAAAAACAGGTAACACGGAGACGGGTTAACATTAACATTTGCGAACCTCAAAAACCTTGAAATTTCCGTTATTTTGGCTTCTCGTGTTTAAAATTAAAAATAGCTGCTCAATAAAGCCCTTGGTTTTGCTTATCTTTTCAAATGAATGCCTGATCATCAGGCATTGACGGTTGCAGTTTAGATTTATCAACCGGTTTCAAGGATCAAGATAATCAGCCTCGATAGCAGTTGAAGAAGCTAGTATAGACTCATAGTTTACCCATGAAAATAAGTAATCATAACAAATGAATACCAATGCTTCCCGATGCTGATATTTCAATCGCAGTAACAATGTTACAAAGTGAATGTCGCTAAGGATAACTTTTTGAGGTTGGATGTCACTAAAGATTGTAATCAAGTCAAAGACTTCCTAAATCGAAGACCAGTTGATAAGATATGGATTGTGTATTAAGTAACCAGAATAAACCAGAATAGAAACCAGAAATATTTTGTAAAAACATTCACTCATCCAAACATCAATCAAGATTAAAATGCGAGAGACAATTAATGCAAATAAAGAATCAATTATCGACTGACTGAATATTCTGGTCTGGAAACAGCTATCTTTACACTAAAAGGCAAATTCACTTCGAACAACCTCTTTAGCAAACCACATTCATACCTCGACAATTAATAACGCACACACACGATTTAACTTACATGAGATGAAAGAGATACTATTTATGATGGTCAAGATGAAGGATTAGAGGATGACAACCAATTTTGTTGCCAAACATCAGACTTACTCGGACAGTCTTTTTAGAGGTACCATCTTTACTATCTTCATTTTCATGAATCAAATGATTGGTCCTTATGTCACTAGGATTGTAAGAGTGACTGTGGATTGTGGGTGGTGAAAAGTTCTCACTTCCAGTCTGGAAATTAAGATTCCTAAGATGTCCATTACCGGGTTAAGGAGATATAAAAACAAATGTGGAAAGGAAGAAAGAAATGAAGGAGGAAAGAAGAGAATCAACTTAATTAGCTATTCGGAATTTGGGTTTTCATTGTTATTCTCTGGATGCTTTTAAATTCAATCAAAATGTCTGTCAAAAAACTAAGCTTGGATCGACTAAATTACTGTCAACAATCAACAAATTTTATGGGTTTTCATTCCTATTAGCAGTGAGACAATGGCGATAACAAGCAAAATCAAGCTTTCACTCAAACAAGGATCTCGTCTACAAATCAAAACAAAAAGTGAAATAAAGTGAATGGGGATTTTTGGTCAAGTTATCAATTTATTGACTGTTATGAGATCCAAATAGACACGTTTACAAATTAATTGTTTTTAATTGTGGTTAGTGATATTATTAAATTACAATTTGCTAACACATTAAGGTGGGACAAAATGGTTAAACATAAAAAAGACTAATGAAACCTAATTGTTTACACATAAAATACCTTGAGTGTTTAGGATCAATGTTTGGTTTTAAATTAACTTGAGACTGAGTGAAAAATAAAGGTAACAATTTAAATTAATAAAGTATGGAAGTAATTGCGAGAAATTAAAGTAATAAAAGTAATTTGTTTACCCGTTACGATGAAAATTAAAACCTGGCAAATAGTCGTGCATTGTCCAATGTTAATTGTTATCTGGTTATGTTGGGTTATCGGTTAACAGTGTAACTGGTAGATGAACTGATGTAGTTGCAAAAGTGTTGATTGTTTGATTCCAGTAGTTGATTAACTTTACTGTTCAATTAATCTGGTAAAAACAAAGAAGTTAAATTGAAATTATAAAAGGCACAATTGATCATCAACATCAACAATCAGTTAATTTGCAAATATTTCAATATAAATAGACTTGTTAATGTTTTTGTTTTTCAACTTATCGGTTAACATGAAAACAATGTTACTAATGGTTGATTTAAAAACAATTAAAAACTATTTTTACCTCAGTTAATTGAAAGAAATGTGATTAATGGCTTACAACTGTGAGCTTATCATTAAACATTTTACATTAAAAATTGTAATCAACTGATTTTTCAGTTTCATTTTTTCCCTCTCTTAAAATCAATTGACAGTGATTAAACTAATGATGATTAGCAGATGAGAAGGGAAAGGGGAAAAATCAAGAGTCGAAGCAATGGTTAGTTAGGAAAATGTGAGGCTTTAGATCAACTATTTGACAAGTTGCACGTTGATTAGGATTGACACAAATAACTAATTACCTTAGATGTTGATCAAGTTGATTAGAACGCGATTAAAAAGAAATGATTAATTCCTTAATTGAAAATGAAAACACGATCACAAATGATCAAGCAACAGATTGGGTTCACGTATGGTTACCGGTACTGGTGTAAATGTTGATTGTAAGGTAGATGATGAGCGACAATTAACAAACAATTAAACTGTTTTCCGTTGAATGGTTGTTGTTAACAATGTTATTGTTGATGGTTAAGGTTGGTTTGTCCGTTTTGTTTACCTTTCTTTGGGTGAAAAAAAGTCAACTCAAGAAATGGGTTAAGAGGATTTTATTTCTTGGGATTTTTTCTGGTTTTATATTTATAAGCAGTTCAATGGGCCAACGTGATAGTCACACAGGTATTAAAGGAGGGAGGAAGACAGATGAGAAGATGAGAAGATAGAGAAAGAAAGAGATGATTAGAAGATGATTAATGTGGTGAGTTGGTTACAAAGTGAGCTAAATGAAAACAGAGAAGCAAATGGATTTTTGTAAGATTATGATAAATATAACCAAAGTTTTATCACATATTTATCATCTCTCTCTTTCCCTCCCTCAATATCATCAATATCATCATTCTCTTTCTTTCCCTCTTTCTCTGTCTGTCTCTGTTTTTATTTTTCTCTCTCTCTCTTTTTTTTCACTTGACGTTGACTTCATGATTTTGATTTATCAAACCAGAATCCGGTAAAACGTTTATAACTTATACCAATCTCTGAAATTGATGGGCAAGATTGTGTTTCCATTGAATGATTAGATAATTTTTGATTTAAGATTGTGATTTTATGATCAACTGATGATCATTGATCATTTAATCAATTTGATCAATAATCAAATGAATAATCAAATCACAAATCATAATTGTAACTGATTCACTGGAAATCTATGATAGAGATCAAGATAATGTGAATCTCAATGAGTGCTGAATGAGTTTAATGCGAAAAAACATGATTACTTTTATGATTGGAATTACATTTTGAATCATTTTGAAAAGGTTAAACATTGTTAGATTATTATTCTGATTACAATGAACAGCTAATATTCATCAACAAAATATGAATTGTAATTGAATCTTCATTTGAAACTTGACGAACAGTAAACAGAAAATAGATTTTCTTGTTTTTGTCTGAAAAGATTAAAGGCCAGCAAACTTGATTTAGTTAACAGAAACCAGTCTAGAGAAGTTAATTACAAAGATAAAAATTGCTAATCAAGATAAATTGAATTATCTTGTAATTGAGAGAAGAAAAGTTTACATTGTTTTGCGTTTTCATTTGAAGATGAGATAATCAAGGTTAAATTAAAGATTCATCGTCGTTACCGGTATTTTGTGAATCGCTAACTTTTGGTATTTCATTTTGGTGTATTTATATTGAAAATTCATTACAGTTCAATGAAATCAAATGATTGTTGCTTGTAATTTGTTGGCTATATCTGTTAGGATTCTTCAGGTCAATTCGGTCATGAAATCGACTTCTTTCCAAGAGTGTTCAGTAAATTGTCCAGCACTTTCTTAAACATCTTTCATCGCTTGCATCCTCCAGATCATATTAACTTTTCGATGGTTACTAATGTGAAAGTTAAGTTCCGAAAGTTGTGGACAATTAACCGTTAAAATGAAGGTGCACTTTTCAAAAATGTTTGAACGAACATAAGTATAAAAACAACAAACAAAAGCTTCAAAATCTGGTTTCTTTTTTGCCAATGAAAATCGTCTTTCTCAATTCACAAAAATCGATTTCACTGATTTTTTCATAAAATTTAGCTTTCAGGTTTACCCGAACTTGGGTCCTAATTGAATTTACAGCACATAACCACAACCAAAGGATACAGTGCTTTCTTCCGCACCACACACTAATCCTCACCATTCCACAGTAAACGGTAAAAACACAGAAAATTAAAATATTGAACAGTTAGACAGCAATGAAGATAAAGAAAATTCTAACAAGTATGCAATGATAATTCAATTTGAAAGTTCGAAGTTCTCATTGAAGCTTTCAATCGGTAGTGTGGATTGATGGTGTAGATTGAAGTACAGAACCTTTTAATGGACGTTAGCTGAAGCGTATTGGTCTTATCATTACATAACAAATACAGTAAAAAAATATAATGCAAAGTGATAAATTTGGTTGAAAAAGCCAATACTTTACCCGTCATACGCTTTATAATGTATTCAACGCATATTTAAGTAATGAATCATTACTAATGATCAATATAAATGTATGTAGTCCAAGTGATAAGGTTGATCAATTTAAAAGTAGGATACATTTATGAACTGTCAATATAAAATTGTGAAAGATTTGAAAAATTATCGTTCTTAATATGAATATTTTTTAATGTGAATAAACATTGAACAGGTAAAACAATTTATGATTAATATTATAATTTTAAAAACAAGTTTCAGTTGATTAATTGACAAATGGAGATAGACAATTACATTTAACAAACAGCTTTGAATTTGAAAAGGCCTTTGTTATTTATTGATTATGATGCCAAGATGATTATGAATATTCAATTGTGATTGTTTTAGTTTTAAGATATTCATTAAGAGCTTCTTGACCAAGATCTTTTCCAAAACCAGATTGTTTGAATCCACCAAAAGGAGCAGCGACATCAGTTTTATTATAACAATTAATAAAGCATGTACCAGCCGTAATTTTTTCACTAACATACAGCGCCTTATCTAAATCTTTGGTTAACACACCAGAGGCTAATCCGTATTCTGTATTGTTTGCTCGAGCAATGACTTCATCTCTATCACCATCATTAAATCTTGAAACAATCATTATTGGACCGAAAGATTCTTCTTTAGCAATAAACATTTCATCGGTAACTTCGGTGAATATTGTGGGTTCAAAAAACAAGCCAGGTCTATCCACTTGTTTACCTCCATGAACCAGTTTAGCTCCTTCTTTTAAACCTATTTGCACGTATTCGATGAGCTTTTCCAGATGAGCTCGATGATTTTGAGGACCATGGGCAGTTGAACGATCTAAAGGATCACCAATCACCATTTTTTTGGTTTCAGCGATAACCTTTGAGATGAATTTGTCATGGATAGAGTTTTCAACGAAAATGCGACCGGCAGCAATACAGTTTTCACCTTTATTGAAGAAAACTGAAGACATTGCAATTCTAACTGATTTATCCAAATCAGCATCGGCAAAAATAATTAGAGGTGATTTTCCACCCAATTCCAGAGAAACTTTCTTCACGTTGGAAATAGCGCAACTTTTCATGATTTCTTTTCCAATTGGTGTCGATCCAGTAAAACCCAATTTTCTAATATTAGGATGGGACGATATAGCTACACCAATGACTGAGCCTGAGCCTGGTAAGACGTTGAAAACTCCTGGAGGAAAACCTGCCTTAACAGTTAACTCAGCCAATTTAAGTGCTGTTAATGGAGACACTTGGGCTGGCTTGAGAACCAAAGTGTTACCTGCTGCAAGACAAGCTGCTGCTTTCCATGAGACCATCATGAGTGGATAATTCCAGGGTGTTATTATACCGCAAACACCAAGAGGTTCACGTTTAGTCAGTGTCAAGTTGCGGTTAGGTCTTGCGTTGGAAATGGGTATAGTTGAGCCTTGAATCTTATCAGTCCAACCAGCAAAGTACCTCCATGTTTCGATAGACATACCAATGTGCGTTTTAAGAGCAAGAGTATATACAGCTCCTGAATCAAGTGATTCAATTGTAGCCAATTCTTCTTTATGGGCCTCCATCAAGTCAGCTAATTTGTATAACAAACGACCGCGATCACGAGCTGACATTTTGGACCATTCTCCTGAATCAAATGCTTTCTGTGCTGCCTCAACAGCAGAATCAACATCTTCAGGAGTTGCAGCATGAACTGAGCAAATAATTTGTTCATTTGCAGGATTGTATGTTGGTATTGTTTTGCCATTTGACGAATCAACAAATCGTCCATTGATGAACAGTTGATTTGGAAAGGAAATTTCTCTTTTATTTGCTGTCAATCGGACCAAGTCTATTTGGATTGACGATTCTGCACCCGAAGATCGACTTAATAATACTACTGCTTGGGTGAATTCCAATAGCGTTGTGTTCATATAAACATCTTCATTGCTCAGTTTATCCATATTTGGACAGGTATCTTTAACTTCTTCAACCAGCCGAGTAACATCCATAGAGCCAGCTCCAGATCTGAAGAAATCTGTATCATCATCAACTTCATTTCTCAAAATTGATTTCCACATTTCTTTGATTGGTGTAACAATTGATTCTTTCTCATCATTGGTAAACTCAATCTTTGTAGTCGATTCAGTTGATCCCCATTTTGAAGCAGCAATCATTTTACCAGAGCTGACAAGCTGTAACCGACTGACACAGACAGCAACATCATCTGTACCGAATATTATTAATCCTTTTTCGTTGATCAGTCCAGGTTTATCGCTTCCTTCAATTGTAATTTGAGTACCAGTCAATGGTTTACTATTGCTGGTCACCAAACTTGAGCCAAAAAGACGAACCTTCTCATCTTGTAAGATTATCCATGAACCAGGAACTTTATCCATACCTCTGATAAAATTATGCAACTTTAATCCTGTTAATGAGCCAATAGGTAAACGACACAGTTCATCTTTATTCAACATAGGATCGTATGAGGCTCCTTCTTCTGATTGTGCGATGGATGGAGCAGTTCCCGACTTAATCATATCAACAGCATCAGCAATTCCTTTAATTCCTTCAGGAAACAGAAAATTGTTGTACAGACTTTCAACCGTGTCATTAATAGAGACAGCTACCGATCTTTGAAGTAAAATGGGACCAGTGTCAAGACCATCATCGGGCCAAAAGATGGTAAAACCGGCTTGAGCATCACCTTCGATGAGAGTCCAGTTAATGGATGAAGCACCACGATGACGAGGTAATAATGATGGATGATAACAAATAGAACCTTTTGACGGATAATTAATTACATCTAATGGGATAAATTGTGTACAATAGGGTAAAACATTCAACTCTGCATTAACTGACTTGTAAGATGCAAAAACAGATGGGATAATGGCTCCCTTAATGCGCCACCGCTTAAACTTGAAAACAGGTACATCGGCTGAGGAAGCTGTTAATGCCAATGGATCTGGTCGACCATCTTCCGAATCAGCAACTGTAAATACACCAACGATCGTGTGTCCTCGTTTAACTAGCTCATCAAACACTGAGCTAGCAAAAATGCTCTGTCCAATTATGGCAATTCTCATGATGAATTCAATATGGTTGAGGGAAAATGAAGCAAACAAAAATACCGAGGGAAAACTTTTTCTATTCTGTTTCTATTCTGTTACTCTCATTAACCTGTTAAATAGTCGCTTAACAATCAACCAACAGATGAATATAACATTAGATATGATTTAGTGGGCTGGCTTAAGTGCATCCACGGAGGTTTAATCTCAATGGGGCGATTATTTATTCACTTATCTGTTTACCTACTTAAAACGTAAAAACTTGAAAATAATAAGCCAAAAGACTCTCATTGTCTATGTCTTATCAAATTGACAATTTACATTGAATTAGATGGAATTGAACATTTCATAAATCATCAATAAGCTCAACAATTCTGTCATAATAAAGACAAGTCTTTGCAAATGATTGCTGACCTTCATGAAGATCATGATGGTAATGATTTATATATTGAACTGATACATTCTCATCTGACTTATCTGACGAAAAAATTTATAACTTGTAACATTTTAATCATATCATTGCTTATAGTCTGAGAGCAAATATTGGATTTTAGGTAAACCAGAAAGTTTCAAATTTTCAACTAATAAAGTAAAATTCATCTGATTGTTTCAATTTTCTCTATAATAATTGATCATTTGAAATAGGTAACTGCAAGAGGTTGGTAGCTGCAAGAGGTTTAAGACTTTCTGGTTTACCTTTCTGGCTCTGAACCACTGACTCTACTGACCTACTTATGATTATCTATCAATTGAATTATAGCCTCTTCTATTGTAAACATTATTAGTTATATCCGGATTAGATTGTTGTCAATCAGAGTAATGATGAACCAAAAGACCTCATCACTTATAGTGCTCATGTGTGCTTAAATTTTCCTCTTCCAACCGTCAAGATATTTTGTAGCTCATATTGTCTCACTAACTCATTAAGATTATGTAATTTTCGTCATTTCATCCCATTTTGCTTGAAAACCAATCAATATCAATTACAAAAGCTAATGCATATATTGGATGCAAGTTTACTGATTTTGCACTAAAGGGTTCATAATTCAATTGGCTACCAGGTTCAATCTGAACTTCACAAGTAAAACTGTACCTTGAACAGCCTAAATATCTCACAATCTACATTATTTGTAACTAGAGACTTTAATAGCCAACCTCTAAATCTTAGTTTTATCTTCATTTAGGCTTACAACGGAATCTAATAAAGCTTGATAACTTTTGAATTGAACATCTTAAACGGTTGAAAAATAATGGCTCATCATCAAACAAGGGGAGTTTCAAAGTGGTACAAAATTTTCCAACTTTTGAGCATAAAATATCTGATTCTATAAGTTTTTTTATTGGTCAGATATGAATTTTGATATTTCTTACACAGGTTAATGTTGACTATGCATAAATAGTAAAATCTGATTTTATCATTTCAAAATAGATCAACACTAACCGCAATCAGCTTGACCTATTCAAAAATAGCAACTACGTATGGTAACTCTTGAACCAAAAATTGATACGAAAAGCTTGACCCATTAGAATATTTTTTGCTCAAAGAAATATTGTAACATCTGGAGATTCTCCTTTGCTTATCATTTGACATGAATATCGAGAAAACGTGCCAAGATAAGATTACTATCAAATGTACTTTCCATTGTAACAACTGATTTTAATCAATGATCAGGTATATCTAATTTAAACGGTACAGATCTTTAGATTAGATCATAAGATTCTTGATCCATATCTGTCAAGATTCGTATCAAAAGACTTTCCAGTCAGTCAGTTGTCTTGATTACCTTTAAAAAGTAGTCATTTAATTACATCAATCTGTCAAAATTGAATCCACTGTCAACCGTTGATGTCTGAAACGGTGAAAGTACGAAAGAATTACCTTTTGAATAAACTTTCTTATTTTTTGTTAACATTTAAACTTTCGATCATCTTTTTGATTATAGTTTTAATTGCTTTCTCGAAGTGCTTCATCGTTCATACTGAAGTTAAGCTGCTCAACTAAAGGAAAGCTTTAGGAAAAGGTAAATAAATAACTTGTTGAATCCACGAGCTGAGAATGTGTTCCTCTGATGTTAAACTTGATCCAACATCGCATTAAATTACTTTTGGTTGAAAATTTTTCATGCAGTGGACACTCCAATGGCCAATCCAATAATTATCCAGTTTATCCCAAATTGAATAATAATCAGCCCGGCGGTTCATTCAAAATCAGAGGAATTGGTCCATCATGCAAATTAGTAAGTTACCAGTTATTGTTAATAACCTTCAGAGGAATTTATAAACATCATAATAATGTTACTTGGCTGAGAATCAGATTGTAAGTCACTTTAGAAGTGAGTATCAGCCGGGTTAAAAGATGAACCAGAACGATGACTTGCATCTCAATTAATATTATCAATTCATTTTCTTGGCTCTGTGCTTATCATTTTAATGGATTGATGATTGTTTACTCTTATTTTTTTATCGACCAGGTAAAGGAACAGGGTTATGATGAAATTGTATGCCCTTCTGGTGGCAAGGTTAGAGTAGCCTCAGCTTATGCAGTGCGGGTGTTTAAATTAAAAGATATCACTGTCATATTCAAAATGAAAGATTGCCACCAGGAGTGAACAAAAAGGCGCTCGAGTGGTTCTCTATGGCAATAAATCGGATGAATCAATTGATTGTGCCAAGTATTTAGCCTCAGATAAGACCTAAAGACGTGACTTGATCCATCCTTTGATGATCAGGCAATTTGCTGAGTATTTTCCAACCAAGACCAACCAGGCTGATAAGGAGGAGACAGAAACGTTTTTGAGTACTTACAGAGCACTTGATTAACCAGATTCATCTCACAGTGATCAACATCTGAAAGTGCAATCTCTTCAAGAGTTAAACTCTCCAAGATTACCTGGATCAATTCATTTCAGAAAGATTCCATTCAATCGAATATAACAATAATGTAACAATAAAATCATCAAATATAAATTGCTGTGAAATATTGAGATGATAAAGAAGAGATTTATTGTTTAATTAACCAATAAGCCTGAAATGTGATGTATCCAGATAATGAATAGAGAAGTACATCGCTCAATGACAGTTTAATATGGACAAACACTTACCGAAATAAAATATCAAATTATAACTGCGATTGTTGCTGTTAGATGTTGTTCAAGCGCCCTTTACTCCTTTTAATTCCTTTTAATTCCTTTTAATTAACGGGCAAAGAACCAGAAAATTTAATGTTATTACACAAAATGTTTTGAATATTGTTGCCTCAAACTAATCAACTGTTGGTTTGTCTTATGGGAAACAAATTGAAAGCCACACGATCCCATTAACGGCAGATAAAAACGTATTATGTACTTAAAAGATATAATCATTTTTCACGTTAAACGTTGAAACAAAATGTAATCAAACAATTTTACTCAAACAAAAAGTGAAATAAAGTGAATGGGGATTTTTGGTCAAGTTATCAATTTATTGACTGTTATGAGATCCAAATAGACACGTTTACAAATTAATTGTTTTCATATTAATTGTTAATAAAATATTATTAGAGAAAGGCAAAGAATATTCTTGATAAAGATTTATTCTAGATTTTTTCTGTTCATATCAGCATACAAATGATTTTTTAGGAATATTTTGAGACCATTTTGCTTGTTTGAAACGACCAATTGTTTAATTGTTAACATCTTAGAAAAAAAATTTTCCGATTAAAACCAAGAAAAAATTTATCATAACAAAATCATTTCGGTAAAGTTTTATGAACTTGAAAATATATTGAATTGCCCAATCTAATACAGTTAACTGCAATGCACTTGAATTAATTGACCTATTTTTGAATAAAAAGTCATGTCTTGAGCATAAAAATGAATAGATATCGTACATAATCTTGAATATTTTGAATATGTTTTTGAACATATTGCTGCAGTTATCTGGTTATTGTATTACAATTAAAAATTAAGTATGGAAGTAATTGCGAGAAATTAAAGTAATAAAAGTAATTTGTTTACCCGTTACGATGAAAATTAAAACCTGGCAAATAGTCGTGCATTGTCCAATGTTAATTGTTATCTGGTTATGTTGGGTTATCGGTTAACAGTGTAAACAGGTAAAAAATGTTACAAGGTAGACTATTTATAAGCAGTTCAATGGGCCAACGTGATAGTCACACAGGTATTAAAGGAGGGAGGAAGACAGATGAGAAGATGTGAAGATAGAGAAAGAAAGAGATGATTAGAAGATGATTAATGTGGTGAGTTGGTTACAAAGTGAGCTAAATGAAAACAGAGAAGCAAATGGATTTTTGTAAGATTATGATAAATATAACCAAAGTTTTATCACATATTTATCATCTCTCTCTTTCCCTCCCTCAATATCATCAATATCATCAGTCTCTTGTTCACTCTATTTTGAATTAGCAGATGAAATAAAGGTTAAAAAAGATTCATCGTTGTCACCGGTATTTTGTGAATTAATAACTTTTGGTACTTTTATATTTTATGCTTGGTGATGATTATTATGAAAATTTTAAAGGACGGTTCAATCAAATTAAATGATTGTTGCTTGTGTTCTGTTGGTTACGTCTGTTATGACTCTTCTTAGGTCAACTCGGTCATGAGGTTGACTTCTTTCCAACAAGATTCACCAAATTGTTCAGCACTTTTTAAAAAAGTTACATCGCATGAATACACCAGATCCTACTCCAACTTTTCGATTGTTACTGATGTTGACTTGAGTTCCGAAAGTTTGAATTTATTAATTTAAAATAAGTGAAGATAGATCAGGTGAAAGATTGATCTGAAAATAATGCTTTTTCAAGATTATCATTTGCAGTTAAATAAACATGAATTAATAATATAATTATTCCCACCTCATGAAAGATATTAAAGCAATATGAGGTATTATAGATAAAATGGACTTATTCAAAAATGAATTTTGACAGTTAGACTAGACTTACAAGCGCTATCTAACCGTTGAAATAAAGGTGTCCTTATCAAAATGTTTGTGCAAAAAGTAGTCGTGTTTACTCTAAATAGGCAAGAGCTGAGGTCGAAATCTGATTTCTGTTCATGTCAATGAAAAGCCATTAAAAATCGATTTTAATCATTGTTCATAAAATTGATCTTTTAGGTTTACCCAAACTTGGGTTCACGTGTATCCCCACCACTACTAATGTAATTTAGGTGATAGGATGAAACCTGTCTAATTGATTAATTAGCACTTGAGGTGGTCACAATCGTGAACTTTTTCTTATACGAATCTCACGATTGATTTTAATTTAAGATTCAGATCTGTGGGTATTTAAGGTGCGTTCACATCGATGACTAGTGCTGTTTGACTTATGAAAATAAATAAACCCTTATACAAAAGTACGCCATCAAATCCTTCACTCAGTGTTATCGAGTTTATGTCAAAAAAAGATATACTAAATAGTTAAATTTTATTGCTAAATAATATTTTGTACATTCTTCATTGATTCACAGTCGTGAATAGTATACCGATAGTATATGATGGATTATTGCGATGAAATGAGCTGCAAATTACAAATCAGCAACATAATCGTACTTGCGTTTTCAAGAACGTACTGCATTGAAAACAAAGATTCGTGGTTAAAAACAATTTAAATAAATACTCTCAGGTATTAAGTATAATTACTTACATAGACAGCAAGAAGTTTTTCCCCTCTAAATGCATCACCAATTTTAGCTCCGGAATAAGGACTAAGAATACGATCGAGAATTTCCAGAGTCTAAAATAAATGTAGTTACAGGGAAAATGAGAGAATGCTCAATCTACCTATACTTTGATGAGAGAATATTTGTAGCTACCTTCAGTTTTTGATCCAGTTTTTGTTGGGCTTTGGCTATGATCGAAACATATAGACCATCAATCACATAAAGCTGGGGAATAAGAATGAAAACAGAATAGAAATACGAAAGAAATCTGAAGTTCAATACTTGAATCAATTAGTTTGCATACCTGATCCAAAAAAGCTCCACCGGCATAAACAACACTTCCAGTTATAAATAGTATAATTAGACCCCAGATTACAAGCATATTTGATACCCAATTAGAATGACGCTTAGTGAATAGTCCCAAGAAGATCGCAGTATCAGCTCCAAATGAGATAATTATGAAAAGAAAAAAATAAATGTAACGGTTTTTAGCGATAATTTCATCAAACTCATTCATATAACTGATCACGTCTGTATTCATGCCTTTAATATAAGAGTCATCGATAAATTGTTTACTCTTGACTCTTTTTAACAATTCAATTAAGCTTTTCAACCGGAATAAGTACAGAGGAACTGAGACACACATGTGAGCTCCTATAGTCAACAAACCACCAAATATAAAGACAAAAGCACAAGATTCTAAAATTATCCAACAAAAAGATGAAATATACATTGCTGGACCGCTATTGACTATTGCTTGGTTTTGAAGACGCAAACTGATTAAAACAAAGGGAATACAAATAAATGTACAATAAATCCATCTGATCCATATCGTGATTAAAATATGGAAAGTAGAGTGGAACGATTTGCACTGTTTGGTTGTCAACTTGAGCATATTCTTGTCAAATCCTGAAACCTTTATGTCTCGAAAAGGACAGAGTATTGTGTAAGCTCCATGCTCTTCAAGGTACAAAACGTATTCGCGTAAGATAAACAGTGTAATACCGCCGCCAATGACATAGTAGATCATCATGTCACTGCTATTTTCATGGAAGAATGGATTTCCCAGCAATATACTCAGGTTATCATTTTGTTTGTAAATCAGTATTAGATAAAACCTTATAAAATTAAGGATCGAAACAAAACGAATAAGATTATTGTTGAAATGGAAATGTGGTTGGACATATGATGTTTCATCTTGACTGTACCCTCGACGGGATATTATCAGTCCTAATCCAATATTTTCCAGGACTTGAAGGGATTTAATAATCTCTTCATCACTGTCATTATCACTTAAAAAACCAAAAGATCTCTTAATTAACGCCTTGATCTGAAAGGGGATACATCGACTTATTGATTCGAGAATGGTGCGAATAAAAAATATGAAGCGACGATTCACAAACGCCAACATTTAATTGATTGATCATTAAATTAAATAATCATATCTGTTATTAACTAGTCTACAAGTGAATTTTAAATGAAACAAAGATACAAAGATGATCCATTTATATAATTATATTAAACAAGCGGAACCTACGATCATGACTGATCGTAATTTTTTCACTGAATACGGGACTGGCTTTTTCACCGTATTGTCCAATGCGGTAAAAAATAGTAAAAAAGTGGTTGATGAAGTGATAGATGTGGTGGAAAAAAGCCGGTCCCACTGAGTACAATGAATTCAATCCATATTTAAAGACTCGAATTCTTGATGAAAAACCATCGTCAATGAGAAAAACTAAAAAATAAAATAAAATCTGGTTATACAGCTGAACAGAATGAAATCTTTCTGTACAGTTAAGGTACTATATTTTTCACTTAACTCATTACTCGAAAGACAGTTTTACTTATCCTTCTAATCCAACAATAAACCATCAACCTGAAAAACCAAAAGTTTTTCCCCCAAAGTCAATAGTAAAAGATACGGATTCTGCGTTTTTTCCCCTACCCTGTTTGAATACTAATTTCTCAGTAACCTGAATTCCGAGAAAGTTCGAACTATTTTTTGCGATTGTAGTTTAATCATGGCTTTCATCCTATGTTAAAATTTTCTTTAGAACCCGTTTAGTTTTGCCACAATCTTCCCGCAAAAATTTCATAGTTTGACTTTATATATTGTATAGATAATGAATTCACCATTTTATTGATGTATTTATTCATATATCAATACATATAAGTGTTAAGTTCAATCAATTTCTTTATTTCGATCTTTCGTGATCCTATTAATAAGATACGCTAGATGCTCTATTTTAGTTTTTCTTAATAGCTTTCGAATGATGATGTTTCATCTTGACCGTACCCTCGTCGGGCTATTATCAGTCCAAATCCAATATTTTCCAGGATTTAATAATCTCTTCATCACTGTCATTATCACTTAATAAACCAAAAGATCTCTTAATTAAATTTTTAACTGGGTAGGGAATTAATCGACTTATTGATTCGGCGAGAACATTGATTTATTGAGAACGGCGTATACAAAGACTATGAAACGACCATTAGCAAACGATAACATTGGATCGATTTTTTATTAAACTTAATAACAGATGAAATTATTGTTGAACTGTTTAAAGACATGAACCAGGAACTTTAGCCATACCTCTAATAAAATTATGCAACTTTAATCCTGTTAATGAGCCAACAGGTAAACGACACAGTTCATCTTTATTCAACATAGGATCGTATGAGGCACCTTCCTCTGTTTGTGCGATGGATGGAGCAGTTCCCGACTTAATCATATCAACAGCATCAGCAATTCCTTTAATTCCTTCAGGAAACAGAAAATTGTTGTACAGACTTTCAACCGTGCCATTAATAGAGACAGCTAACGACCTTTGAAGTAAAATGGGACCAAAGCCAAGATCATCATCGGGCCAAAATATAAATACGTATTATTTACTTAAACGATATAATCATTTTTCACCTTAAACGTTCGAACAAGATAAAGTTAATCAAGCTTTCACTCAAACAAGGATCTCGTCTACAAATCAAAACAAAAAGTGAAATAAAGTCAATCGGGATATTTGGTCAGGTTATCAATTTATTGACTGTTGTTATGAGATCCAAATAAAAACGTTTACAAATTAATTGTTTTCATATTAATTGTGGTTAGAAATATTATTAAGAATACTCTTGATAAAGATGTTTTATTCTGTTCCTCTCATACAGTTAACTGCAATGCACTTGAATTAATCGAACTTTTTTTTAATAAGAAAATTCATGTCTTGAGCAGAAAAATGAATAGATCGTACATAATCTTGAATAATATGATTGTTTTTCAACATATTGCTGCTGTTCTCTGGGTATTGTATTGCAACTAACAATTTAAATTAATCAAGTATGGAATAATTGCGAGAAATTGAAGTAACAAAAGTAATTTTTTTGACGCGTCTGAAATAAGCGAGACATCCTTTTCTGGTTCGCAATTTGATGATCGAGGTAAATTGGCATCAAGACATATGATGGTATTCCGGAATATTTTTGATAATTTGTTGTGGTGAAATATTGATTTTGTTGCCAAACTTGTTGCAAAGTGGTTTTCTAATATGTCTTGATTAAACCTTCTGGTGTAAACTCAACTGAAACCATAATTAAACAAGAATTGAGATACGTTTAGCATCCTTCGTATTGTGTGGGAAAGCATATTCACACAAGTTGGTTTGCTTCGTCTGTTTCCTTCTGCATTATAAGGTTAGACATAAGCTATTGAGTTTGATGTAAGCAATTCAAGCATATGGTTCAAATACCTCATATTGTTGTCGTCTTTTCACAAAGCAGTCTTCCATGGTTTGCCGTTTTGCAACGAGATCGATTACGAGTTGAGAAAATTGGACAATTTATCCATCATTGATAGGAAAGTTGCTGGCAACCTATATGGATCCTCTGGTAACACTCGCTCGATTCCATGAGGAACCGAAGCTGCAAGTGAATGCGAGAAAACTTGGGCTGCCAACTTTACTCGCATTCTCGCTCTTCCCTTATGTTCAAGGTGCAAAGCTGTCAGCTTTAGGCACTGGGAGAAGGCAGCTTTTATTCAAGGACAGAGATAACTAGTTAAATCTGTCCATTTTATGATTCTCTCAGCATTTTCTAGAGACAATGGTTTAGTCAACCAGTGATTCCTTATCAATTTGAAAATGTGAGGAATATCATAAAGAAAAGCTATCGTATTGCCAGAAAATTGAAATGAAAGAGAATTAATGCTCACAACAAACGAGCTAGTGCTCGGTTCACCGAGTGTCCATAACAAACGGTTGCAACAATACTGATTTGATTGAAACTTCTAAATTCTCCTAGACTATTTTTTAAGGATTTCTGTGGTGAATCCGCGTCGAGGTAAGAAATAATATGAGCATATTTGTTTCTATCTGCTATCCAATTCTCTCTATCTGAAAACTAAAACTTCAGTGGCAATTGCTTCTGTGTGACCATGCTTTCCCATGTCAACATAGCCACAGATGCTATCAGTACTAACAAGTTAACCAATTCCGGAGTGAAAAATGTGAATAAAAACAAAACGTTGGCACAAGTATGAGTATGAATATGTGATTGAAGAGCAAACAATAACAAATCAATCCAGGCTTGGCACTTTTCTTGATCAAGTGGTAATGAGATATCACCAAGTCTGCATTACTTTCTAAAAAACTTTCATCGCTTTGAATCCTACTCCAACTTTGCGATTGTTATTGATGTTGACTTGAGTTCCAAAAGTTTGATTTGATTATTTTGAAATAAATGAAGAAAGTTTAGGGGAAAATATTGATCTGAAAAGAATGCTTTTGTCAAAATCATCATTATCATGCAGCAAAATTAACATGAATTAATGATCTAATTATTCCAATCTCATGAAAGGTACACTGTGATGCATTAGGGACACTTGAGAATCTTAATTATTTCACGATAATTCGTGAAATTTTTATTATTTTTCAATCAATTCATGTTTTTTGAGCAATGATTAGTTATTTTACTAAGTATTAACCATATTGGTTAGTTAGTTTTAATTTAATTTAAATAATCAAAATTTATCATGAAAAATTTTGTTGCATGGCATTAAGGACAGTTATTAATTTTAGTTAATTAAAGACTAATAATGAGTGCTACCACCGTTTTTTGCTATGACCTCAACTAAACGATCCTTCATTGACATTATATTGTTTTGAATCATTGACTGATCAATCTGATGCCACTCACGGACGATTGATTGCTTGAGTTCGTCGATTGCATTGTATTGACGACCTTTACCATAGATTCTTCTTGCTAAAATGGACCAAACATTTTCAATTGGGTTTAGATCTGGTGATCTTGATGGCCATTGCAATAATTCGATACCCTTTTGCGAAATCCAATCTTTGGTAGCTCTAGAGGTATGAATTGTAGCGATATCTTGTTGGAAGATTGGGTTGATGCCACACATTTCGTAGATTGATGGAACCATGAATTGCTCCAATATATCAATATATCCACTTGAATTGACATTTTTAGGGCAAAAAACTATGTCTGTAGTACCGTTGTAAGTGATTCCAGCCCATATCATAACGCCACCACCACCAAACTGACGTTTAGAAAATTGCACTTCAGGCATATTCAGGTTTCTCCAATGACATTTGTAGCCATCAGGGCCCTCCAAATTGAACCTTTTCTCATCTGAGAACATCACCTTTAACCATTTATCTCCAAATTCGATATGGTCTTTTGCAAATTGTAGTCTTGCCTTCTTATGCTCAGGCGACAAAGGTGGTTTGGTGTTTGGCTGTCGGAAATCGATATGTTCAGCTCTTTTTGCAGCTCTGTAAACTGTTGAACGATGACAGTCAACACCAATGACTCTTGATACCTCCGCACATGACATTTTATCATTAGATAATAGCCGTAAAGCTTGCCGAGTATCACGGTCACTCAATTTATACGAAGGTCCACTTCGATTATTTTGATTGTATTGGTCCGGATGGTTGATAACTCTCACAACAGCACTTTTCGACCTTCCAATTTTATCAGTAATCACTCTTATCGATAAACCTTGGTCACGATAAGCCATAATTTGACCAATTTCTCGATCACTTATGTCTGCACCTCTACCCATTATATAACTTAATTTAAAACAATGAACTTTCAAAAATTGAACAAAAACTTTGAAAAATATGTTATTACAAAGAATAGATAACTTGGAATGGTCAGATTCCTCGAAAAAAAGGCCATTTATAGTCAAAACATGAAGTGTCCTTAATACCATGCATCAACTCCATATGGTCAACATATGAAGCTTAACAATTAGTGAGGCTAATTAGCGAAATTTCCGACTTTTGAGTGCCTAATCTGGCTTAAAATGTGTGAATAAACATATACCAATAAGAAAAATCCCTTCAATTGGATTAAATTCATTGATTCCTGGGAAATTCGCGGTGTCCTTAATGCTATGCATCACAGTGTATGATAGGTAAAATGGACTCAAAAACTTCAAAAATAAATTTTACCAGTTGGATCAGGCTTACAAGCTCTATCTAACCTAACCTAATCTAACTTAAATAAGTAAATAACTTTTCAAAAATATTTGTGCAAAAGAAGTCAATGTTTACTCTAAATAGGCAAGAGCTGAGGTCGAACTCTGATTTCTGTTCTTGTCGATGAGCCATTAAAAATGGGTTTTAATCATTGTTCATTAAATTGATCTTTTAGGTTTACCCAAACTTGAGTTCACTTGAATTCCCACCACCACTAATGTAATTTCAGGTGATAGGATGAAACCTATCTAATTGATTAATAGCACTTGAAGTGGTCACAAGCGTGAACTTTTTCTTGTACGAATCTCTAATTTAAGATTCAGATCTGTGGGTATCTTGGGTGCGTTCACATTGATGAATAGTGATGTGCAACTTATGAAAATAAATAAACACTTATACAAAAGTATGCCATCAAATCCTTCACTCACAATCCTTGACTGTCAGTGTTATCGAGTTTACGTCAAAAAAATGTACTAAATAGTTAACTTTTATTGCTAAATAATATTTTGTACGTTCTTCATTGATTTACAGTCTCAAATAGTATACCGATAGTATATGATGGATTA